CCCTTGGAGAAATGAAGCTTTAAAATTTTTACTGCAATTTCACAAAATTGAAAATATTTCAAAAACGGTAAGGTTTAAGTATAATAAACCTTAATCAAATTTACCTTTATTTTAATCGTAGAAACTAAAAATGTAATAATATACAGGGTGTTCCATTTAAAAAAATACAGCTTTGATATTTTTTATTTATTTGGGACACTCTGTATCTTGTAAAAATATTTTTAAATTGTAGCTCTAATAGTCCTTCAACGAACCCCAAACTTACAATTTGTAAAAATCTCATCGTTTAGCTACAATACTCCGTGTCGTATGTGGTGAACAATCCTGTATATTTTTGAAGTGCAAAAAATATCCAAATAAATAAAAATAATACAGTGTGTTCCATTAAAAATATTACTGACTTGAAAATATTGATTATGTAGGTTAAAGTGTTATCGGATTTAAAAAAATGTCTTAAATTTTTGGAAATAATTAGTTAACTTATTCGTTTACCTAATCAAGATATAACTTCATTGTCAGTCAAAGCTCTGTTCTGTTCGATGGATCATCCAAAAGAACAGCAGCACGACTCCATTGGATCTTTTGTGCATTTTTCTTCACGAAATGCACTCATTTTTTCTTCCAAGCCAACATTTTTTTTATTCTATACCACCAGCCAGCGCAATTTTGCCGTAAATTTCAAAAGTTGCCTTTTAATGATTAATAATCAATGCACTTTTCTTAAAAATAACAAAGGAGCAAAGGCATCGAGACAAATTAAATGAAGTAAACTCGAAGCAATGAATAAAAAAGTAGACAAAGATCTCTTGGTAACAAAGAAAAAATCTCTTGGTATCCCTACATCGCTTAAAAAACGATAAAGTCATTTAACGAAATGAGATTGACAGTATAAAAATGTTTTTATGTCCGTGCTCGATCTAGAAATGCCAAGACGTCGGTGACATATAAAACCGTCGATACGAAATGCCACCCAGATTAGAACTATAAACAAGCTGAATCGTAAAAAACGCCAGAGAATTGAAAGAACTGAAGTTTATAGGGCAAGAGCAGAACAATAGACCATAACTGTAAACTAACAATGCTTAAATATACAAAAGAGTTTGTTTCGATTTATTCTTATACAGCAGATGAATTCTTTATAGAGCAGAAAATTGATTATAGAATTTAATTGAGTGCTTTAGGAGATATTGCCAGTAGAGTCAATATTTAAATATTTTTACACAAGCCACTATGCAATATTTTGTGTATTCTTATGCTTTAGGATCGCCAATAATCTACAATCCTATAGATGTAATTGATATTACATTCATTACATTGTGATCTTGCATTCCTCTAATATTTCTTATTTACGTGTCGTCCACACTGAAGTTAGGGCAATTGTTTTAAATCTAACAAAGTGTTAGACTCAAAAGGTCTGTCTCGACGGAATTTCAAAATGTTTTTTTATTGTAACAGACCAAAATATATTCAAAATAGGCAGCCTAGCTATCTATCGTATGTGCGACTCTTTAAGTTTTTTATTGTGCTGTCTGAAATTTTTTTAATATTGCCTATGGCCAATAAGTTTATAGAAATACAATTACCTGAGAAAACGAAATAGAAAGATTTCATAGTACAAAAATCTAACAAGTCTTGCATAGGTTCAGATTATAATTTGTTATTTGGGTTCAAAACAATTGACAGCTAACACAAGTATCCATTTTCTACTGTTACTGCTTTTCTACTGTTACTGCTTTCTACTGTTACCGCGAACGGCAGCTTTTCATCGGAGAGCAGTCGTGGATAAGGTATTTCACTGGAAAGAAAACTAATTAAGAACAATAAACAAAAGAATAGATATTGGGCGCCAGGCATGTACAGAGAAAGAAAACACAGTTGTATATTACTTAAAACTAATGACAATATTTATTCATGATGAATTCTGATGGTAAATAGCATTGTACAATTTTAATAATTATTATAGTGGTTATTTGTTGAGTAAAACTATGTATGTAAATAATATTAAATATGTTCTATGAAAAGACTATGAAAAAATACAATGCGTGTAACGTTATAGAAAATATAAGAAAAGTAGCATTACTTTATTTAAATTGTTAAATTTTATGCGGTGTTAAATCTGATGTGTTGCAACCTGTAGATTCTAGAATCTATGTCTCGTTATTCATCTGTTAATATAGCGCAATAATAATATCTATAGAAAGTAATACTATTACAAGGCGTAATATAATGAAACCTAAAATCTAAATCACATTGTAACTACTGAATCGACATAAATGTTCTTAATAATCTAACCACTAAATATAGTCTGTACGATATTATTTAAAATGTACGTTACTGTTTAAGACTGAAAATATAGAAAATCTAAAACATAAAAAACTAGAACGTAAATCTACACTTAGCTGTTCTTTATGTAATCTTGCTTCAAACAGTAGCAGCGTGAGGTGGTCTCGCATCTCTGTACTCAGCCATCCAACACAACCAAAGGGGCCAGAATGAGACACCATAAATTGGTACAGCCGTAACTAGCTAGCTTACAGCTGGGAACGAAGCAGCATGGGACTCAAGCTGCATCCACGCTGTGGCACTTATATGTAAGAAAAAATCGTTCTTACTGGGGACACTCGTCCACAGGACATCCGTACATAAGATAATGTCCTTACATAAGACACTACCCGTACCTTGGACAGAGTCCGTACCTTGGACACAGTCCGTACCTTGGACACAGTCCGTACCTTGGACCCTCGAAATATGAAACTCTTGTTTAAAACCAAACAAGGTCTAATAAACAAAATAAACCTACCTCGAAATACTTCCGAGGGCTCAATAAATAATAAACAACATGTCCTTTCTTCCATGTGACATTCTGGAGGACAAAAGAAAAGGGACGCCAACGTGCCAGCAAAACACATATACAAGTTGGGACATCCGTAACTCTACCCTGTAGCCTCGAAATAGCAGTTGATTCAAATTATACAGCAAGACTTAAATAATCACCATTTCCAAAAGCTGGGATACAACAGAGCGTCAAAACAAAGTGAGGTTAAGCACGGAGAGAGTTGACAGAAGCGATGTTGACAGCGCCTCCTCAGAGCGATAACAGGGTTGTGTCGAACGATAACAGGGTTGGCGAATAGGGAACGTAAAAATTACGCGTCAAATAAACTATCCGGCCTGAACGAGAAGGAATCCGGTGATGATATAGGCCAGACATCATATATTATATATAAAAAAGACATGTAACGAACTAAAAACGTTACAACCATCAACTGGCAAAATAGTACTACAGGGAGACGCGATATCCCTAAAGCTGTTTACAGCAACACTAGAACAAATCTTCCGTCAACTGGACCGGACCAACAAAGGATTAAAAATAGATGGAGAATATGTCAACCCTCTAAGATTCGCTGATGACATAGTCCTAATTGACAATAGTCCTGAAGAACTACAAGCACAAATTAACGAACTAAATACAGCCAGCAATAAAGTGGGTTTCAAATTGAACTTATCAAAAACTGAAGTAATATACAACGAACTAGTGGATAGAAAAGACATTCTAATAAATAGCAAAGCACTGAAAATAGTAGAAGAATACTAGATGTATTTGGGACAATTAATACATAGCTCGGGATCTCTACTACCAGAAATCAACAGAAGAATTAAGTTGGCATGGAGTACTTAGGGAAGAAACTGGTTACGTTATATAAAGAAGAAAACATTCGACCAATGTGTACTACCTATCATGACCTATGCATGCGAAACCTGAACCCTTAAAACAGATATCATAAGGAAACTGCAGGTCGCACAACGCTCAATGGAACGAAATATACTGGGAATAACCAACAGTAAAAGAATAAAGTGGATACGATAAAAGAATAGGTAATCCCAGATAGCACAAAAGGAACATTTACATTCTAAGAATATTCCTCCTAAGTTCTTATAAGTATATTCTTTTTTTAATAAGTATGGCATATGAATAGTACATTCTACTACGAATGTGATTTAAAGGTATGTTATCAGCATGACCTTAGAATGTCTTCTTAAATTATGGTTTACAATAAATTTTAAGTATCTGCTATTCACGTTCTAAACATATCAATATCTGAATAAAAATACAGGAGAATAAAAATGATTTCGAAATGAAAAATGAATACAATACATTATATTTGTATATTTTCTTACTATCAGTTACTATTAAATTTTTGTGTATTAAATAATTAGGGATTTTATATATTAGTGTATATAGATGCCCTGTATACAAATATTCAAGCAAAAATACAGTGTTTCTTATTCTAACAAATAAATAAACCTGTAAAACTGTATAAATAGAAACGATCTTCCATTATGAAATAAAAAGATCGATTATACCAAAAGATAGTTTGATAAAACTCGATAGATTTTAATCGATTTTTTGGGTAAAAAGATCGATCTTCGACTGAAATCGATTCGAATCGTACATCCATAACATAACCTAATAAAAACACAACAAGTGAACTATAAACGTAAACGTGCTTCATTCAAACTATTTTAATAATTAAAACACTGAGATAACGTAAAGATAAGTGATGCAAATAATTATTTTAAGGATAGAATCGGTAAAATAGTTCTTGTTATGTTTGTGTTTTCAGTATCTATTTTAAGGTGAGTGAATTTAAAACCATGAGACCTCGAAAAAATAGGTTATACTAAAAAAATATTTTAAAATTCAACCAAAAAAAAAGAGCCAAAATCTTATTAAGTCAATGTTACGCAAATATGACTTCAATATTGTACATTAAACTGGATTCAGACCAAAGTGATTTTTTATTATCCTCTGTACATCATCAAAGTAGTAGTATCTTTGGTAGTATCATTGAAGATTTCTGTTCTGATAAGTGTAGTTCCAGTGCTGAAATTTCTTACAATATAGTATTTATATAGGTATTTATGTAGGCTCTTTTATAATCATTTATTGTGTATTTTTTAAGAGAAAGGTATTTTTTAGAATTATTAGGTTCGAGAATTATTTAGACTTGGTGGTTCAGGAGTAGCACAAAGTACAAGGAAAATGCTTTATAAGGTTCTGGGCAATGAAATTGCACAAAAATATTCTTGGGATGGGGCCAAACAGAAGAGAAGTTTGAAATCATTGTTAGTGGCCAAAAGCAATTTTAGGTATTTGAACTTAAAGATATTTGGTGTTGCAAAGACTGTAATAACATATATTTTAGACTCCATGAAAGGTCAATTTCAAGAGTCAAAAGAAACCGAAATTATCAATATAATTAAAATATGGCTTGTAAAAACAAAAGAAAGATTAAAAAATACCAAGGTAAGTTGTGCAAATTTATTTGAACAGTATAATTCTGCTGATATTATTTCAGAAGGGTAGACAAGAGAATATAGAAACATAGAAATAGAAGATAATATCAATGTATATCGTTATATTAAAATATTTTTAATTAATAAACATATATTACTCAAGTTCGTCTTTATCCTTACCTATTATTTTTAACCGTTCTATTTATTAGTAATTTTTGATTATTACACACCAAATTATTTAATTTCAGCAAATTGTTTGTAGTGTGTTCCAGATATGAATGTACTGTATAGGTATCCTATAGATTTTAAGAGATAAAAAAATTGCTAAATATGAAAACAATTGTATCTATATCTATAGTTTATAGGATATTGATACAGAGCATCCTTATACAGGACACCCAGTAGATACAGAGTTGAGGGATGGAATCTTTGGTGTTACAACAGCAAATTAAAACACTAATTCACCACAATATACCAAAACACTTTACTTTTGAACTGGACGCTTGTTTTGTTAATCATCTTAGCGTCATCAGCAGATGATTAAAACTTAAATTTTGACCTACTGCTGATGATGCATGGTTAGCGAAACGCGCGTCCTGTGCAAAAGTAAAGTGTTTTGGTGTATTGTGGTAAATTAGTGTTTTATTTTGCCTCTGTAGATAATAAAAAAATATGAAAAACATATGAAAAGCATAAATATAGAATATTAAAAACATGAATATCATATAATTGGAATATTATTTTTAAATACATTCTTTACGAACATATAATTCACGTTCATAGAATATATCTTGGAATGTGAAACGCACTTCTATATCACTTGAATAGGGTGGAACGTAATCTCTGCTATTCATGTGCCATATATGTTCCCAATGAAAAAAAGGAATGTGAATAGAACATTGTTGTTCTCCAAAGTCACTTGCTTCGCATATGAAAAGAACGTAAATGTGCTATCTGGGAATAGATGTCATCCACAGAGTCAAATCTCTCAAGTGGCAATGGCACCTGGGAAGAAGGACGGACAACAGATGGACCACAAAAATTACAGCATGGTATCCACGAGGAGTTAAGGGACCTAGAAGAAGACCGTACCTGAGATGGGACCATGATATTAGAAAATTAGCAGTGATAAATTGCGCCCGAATAGCCAACAATAGAAATAATGGGCCGAACTACAAAGAGAGTATCTAAATATGTGAGGGACGCTACACCATAATTGGAAATGGTTGAATAAGCTGAAAATGATAATGATGATATGTATGGTTTTCTTAATTAAGCAACTCAAAATTTCCTTTCGTTATAATTTACATATATCAATAATTTTAACATGTCTATTAGGGAATTATAAGTAGATCAAAATATATAACTAATAAACAAGTTTTTCTGTAATAACAAACATTTATAAGAATTTATATGACGAATAGTATTACAGTTGAGGGTTGGAACCTTTGGTGTTACACAGCAAAATAAAAACACCACAATACACCAAAACACTTTTACTTTTACACTGGACGCGCGTTTCGTTAACCATGTTAGCATCATCAGCAGATGATTATAAACTAAAGTACAATCTACAAGTTGAGCGTTTATATACTCGCTCAGTGGACACCGAGTGGGCGTGGCAAAATCTAGCCAACCGAGTCAGAGCCAACTGAGCGTAACAGTTAGATTTGCGCCTTAATTAGAAAACGTAGGTATAGGTTAATGATTTCTGAAAATTCGACTTTTCAAGTGGAGAAAGATACGTCTAAATATTTTTCGATACCGTTTGATAGAGAGTTATCCCGTGGTCTGAAAGGAATTTTTAAGAATGTCAATTATAAACTTGTGTATAGTGCTAATAATAAATTACAACAATTATTAGGTAATCCAAAGGATAAAACACCTCCACTGGAAAGGTCGGGTATTTATGAAATTTCTTGTAAAGATTGTAATCAGAAATATGTTGGGCAAACTAGAAAATCAATATTAACTAGATTTAAAGAACATTTAGCTCAGATAAGATATGGTAAACCGGATAAATCTTGCGTTGCCGAACATATTGTTCATAAAGAACATTGTATAGATCTTAATAATTTAAAATTAATTAAACAAGTCTCAAATTACAGGCAATTAGATGCATATGAAAGCATCAGAATTAATAAATGTAAAGATAGTATGAACAGAGACAACGGTCCAATTCCTTCAAGTTCTTTGTTCCTACTACTACTCTAGTGGCGGAAATCTAACTGTTACGCTTAGTTGGCTCTGACTCGGTTGGCTAGATTTTGCCACGCCCACTCGGTGCCCACTGAGCGAGTATATAAACGCTCAACTTGTAGATTGTACTTTAGTTTATAATCATCTGCTGATGATGCTAACATGGTTAGCGAAACGCGCGTCCAGTGTAAAAGTAAAAGTGTTTTGGTGTATTGTGGTGATTTAGTGTTTTTATTTTGATGACGAATAGTATTATAAATTACATGAATTAAGCTTTACTAATTCTGGTCCTTTTTTGTACTGGGGATTTACCAACTTTCAACAAATATAGAGTATTAATTTTTGGTTAGAAAAGGTATTCTTGGAATTACATTTAAAGATAAGATTGCTTTACAAGCTTTATATTTATATGTGTCAATAATTTCTTATCAAAATATATATAAAAAAATATGATTTCGTAACGTCGCCGTCATAACGTATAGCATAATTTATCAGAATATTGCATTTTGCAGTTTCACAAAAGGCATCAAAATCATCAGTCAGTTGATATAGTACCACAGGATCGAAAAAAAAACAGCGCCAGAGAGGGCTTGGAAACAGAGATCGCTGTCATTTTATATATTAAATTATATGGAAAATGTCGTGAATGGTTATTTTAAAGCCAATTATAGAGCTCTTGCTAATATATCTACAGGGTGCCATACAGAACTCTTGCTAATATATCCACAGTGTGTTTCAAAAAACATGTGCCATCTCTCGTGTGGAGATTTCTTACGTAAAAATAAGATTTATTTTTCATATCAACATAGGTCCGATTCCGATTTGTTTCGTAGCTGCAGGGTGTTACATTCTTAATAATTTTTCGATTTATTATAATTTTCTTCCAAGTACTTTTAGTGATTTGAATTAAATTTTTGAGGGTAAAAATTACTATAAGTGCGACATATTTTAATGCTAAAAAAGAGTCGTTAAATTCATCAGGGACGTGCATATGGGTTATCACTGGAATATTTTTCAAAAAAAAAAACATGTGCACCACTGACTTTTTTCTTTTGATATCAAAATTGTGTAGGCCGTTTAATGCCAATTAAAAGTTGTCTCTTGTTATTTTGTCGAATTCGGCCTCCTTGATGAGATAAACGCAATTTTATTAATCACAATTAATAAAATTAAAATAAAAATGAAATTAGTAAATTATATATTTTACCTAATTTATTATTAAATATTATTACTATTAGTTATTACTACTATTAGTCCAACAGCAATTTCAAATAATAAAATTATGGTACTTGAGATAATTACAAAAAACCTAAATTTAAAAACTTTTAACATCCTGTAACTCTAAAACTATGCATTTCCATACCCATGTTTATAGGAACTTTTTTTCATATTTTTTGATGAGGAATCAAATTTATTTAAAACATTCGAAAGTTAATGATATTAATTTTTTTAAAGGTTGCTATTAGATTGCTATTATATGGATCAAAACAAATTAATAAAATTGCGTTTGTCGCATCAAGGAGGCCGAAATCGACAAAATATCAAGAGACAACTTTTAGTCGGCATTAAACTGCTTACACTATTTCACTAACGAAAGAAAAAAAAATCAGTAGCATGCAGGGTGTCCCAGGCTGAGCGTGCATTAGAAATTTCTAGAGAACCACAATATCTAGATCGGAGATTTTTTGCGCATCATTGTTTCACGACGAGATTAATTAAAAATATTTTCAATATGGCGGCACTTCCGGAAATACCGGAAGTTGACGGCAACTTTCTTATTTTAATTGGGTACCCCCATTTTTTATTACATACTTAAATTCTCTTTAAAATTTTATGAATTTTGATATTAAACACTCTATAGGTACCTAACATTAACAGTTTTTGAGAAAAAAAATATTTAAAATTTTTGGACAAAAAAACTACCTGTCAAAAAAATTTGTATAGCGTAAAAGTCAAATTTAGTTACTACCACAGCCACTGTGACATAAAGAGAAGACATGTGGCGATCTATTTCAAAAATTAAATTGTCGGTAATAATGTCGGTAGCTGTCATGGAATTGAGCGATTAAAAAATTATCATAAATCATTTTTTTTCAAATAGAAACCCACTTTTTTTATTTTACTAGTGAGAAGGTTTTTCAATTCGTTACTTTTTAACTACACATGTTCCTATACCTAAAATAAATCGTTTTAAAGTTATTTAAGATTTAGTATGAAAACGTATATTTTTATTGATTTTATCTAGCTTCCTTTGACATTCAGACAATTTATTTCCATCTGTCTGAAAACGAATTATTTGAATTTCCTATATTATAAATACTGCCTGCCTTAAGAATTTAAAAAGTGTATTTATAATAAAAAATCGGTAAAAAAACTTTTAAGTTAAACGGTTTTATCTTATGTGCACTGAAAACTAGAAAATAATAATAACAATTAGGTATTTTGAACTTCTAGTTCAGAAATATTTTAGTACTAGGCAGAATAGCTTTTAGGCATATTAGACTAAAATAAAAACGTGGGGCCCATTAACTATTGCTGTAATACTTTCTTCTATACTAAGTGTGGATTGCATCGACTTACTATAATCGTAACTGGAGATTTTGACAATCAATAACCAGCCGTGGCGGCTTCACCAGCGAACGCCGAGCTCATGATCTACCAAAGTGTAAAGATATGCTTTGCCATAGGTAGGATTTCAGAGGGGCCCCACGTTTTTATTTTAGTCTAATATGCCTAAAAGCTATTCTGCCTAGTACTAAAATATTTCTGAACTAGAAGTTCAAAATACCTAATTGTTATTATTATTTTCTAGTTTTCAGTGCACATAAGATAAAACCGTTTAACTTAAAAGTTTTTTACCGATTTTTTATTTTCTAGTTTTTAGTATTTAACGG